TGCAAAGTGCTACAATCGCGCGGTTACCAGAGGGGTGGGGTTGCAAAGAGGCCGATTAGCCCAGGCGGAAAAATGTGTGTGCTGAAAAATGCCCCCTCGGCTTATACTCGAGTCACCATTTTTTCCCAGTTCTTTGTGGAAAAATAGGTCCCTCGGCTTATAGTCGGGTCGACTTATACTCGAGTATATACGGGTATATAAGATAAGATAACCTTTATTGTCATTTTTTATACTGTGGGTACAATGGCACACATCAAAAATGAAATTTAGTTGCCCGCTCTCAAAGTGAAACAGATACATGACACACACCTAAACATACTATGAACAACATATGTATAGACCCACATCCCTACATATACGTAGCAAATAAATATCAAATACTGTCCATCTTGAATATATAACGGAAGGAGGAAGCTTGAGAGTTCGCAAGGTTAATGCTGTATGGAATGAAACTCTGGCTGAATCTGGATGTTCTGCTTCAGGTACCATGAAGCCTCCTCCCAGAAGGTAACAAGGAAAACAGGTCGTGAAGAGGATGTGTAGTGTCCCAGATAGCTGAAAGCAACAGTTCGCCCTCAACTACAATTTTTTCTATCATCTTTTATTTTTCTTATGTTCTTGTAAATCTTATTATATTGTTTCAGTACAGTGACATTTGTACAGTATTGATTGAAAATTATTAACACTAATGTTTAGATAACTTAGACTATTGTTAATAAAAAAGAGTATATCAATTGTTATTTACAATTTAGGATGTCAGTGTTAATAAGCATAAGATTTTTAATTTTTTTAATCTGAATTTGAATATAGGCAGCTCTAGATAGGACATTTAGAGATTTTACTGAATTAAAAAGCTTACTACATAAAATTTAGATAATATATTGGGTCTTATCTATAAATTGGAAAGTGAACAATTATTGTGTAGTTCAATGAATGCAGAATCCAAATAGATCAATAAATATCCAACCATGGGGATCACAAAGGAAAAACAGGTAATATACCATCAATATTACACTTAGAGAAAAATGGCATAAGATGCTCTATTGGTGACTACCCAGTGTTGATTGCCAAAATAGATAATGCATTTTGTAAAAATGGCTGGAAATGCAATATTAGATTGGATCATTTTTTTTCTTATTTGGTGGCAATGCTGTAAAGCCAATTTTTGAAACAAAAAGTTGTATTGTGCTTTTCAACCTGTTATTTTTACAATTAACATCCATTTTTTAAATTAAAGTAAAAGTACAACATGGAGAGGGAATTGTGTGTATTGTTTCACATCAATACGTTTTCCATATTTTGTTAAAGAAACTTAAATCATAATAATAATATACAGGCAATCTGCGACCCAGATCAACATCTGAAGCTATACCTGTGAAATTCAAACTGAACTCAGGCCGTAGAGAAATATAATCCAAGCAGAAAAATGTTTGTCTCAGAGTTCAGGATCATTAATTCATTCATATAAACAGATATCGTCTCACTCTGTCCTAATTCCTTCCAAGTCCAGAAGCCATACTTTTGCTAACATATGTGAAGAGCTTCTTAAAGCTTCTAAGATGCTTTCTTTAGTTTTCTGCCAATGTTTTCCAATATTTCATTATCTTTATCAGAGACAAATGTTTTTCTTTAGCTGGCAGTTGTTCAGAGTTATGGCTGAGGAAAGAAGTTTCTGAAAAAGTAACATTACAGCTCTTTTCCACAGCAGGTTATATATCTATCTGATCCTCACCTTCATTTAAGGAATCAGAAGAATCTACAACTAACACAAAACTGAGTTAGTTTTGTGATAGTTAATATTACAGAAGCATAATTCAAAATGAATGATAGGCTATAAAAGTGTGCACAAACTAGAATGAAATTTAATACAGATGAATGCAAATTTCTTCATTTAGAAAAAAAATAAAATGCACACATACATGTTCTGTGGCTTCATACTACTTCATGCTGTTTATTGATTTTAGTTTGGTGTTCAACACAATCATTCCTCAGCATTTGGTGAACAAACTGGACCTATTAGGCTTTAATACTTCCTTATGTAACTGGATACTTGACTTCCTTATTGATAGGCCCCAGTTTGTGCGAGCTGGAAGAAAAGTTTCCAATTCCATCTTTTTGACTACGGGTTCCACACAGGGCTGTTTTGAGTCCATTACTGTTCACCTTGATGACCCATGACTGCTATGCTAAGTCTGCTATAAATCATATTGTGAAGTATGTAGATGACACAGCAGTAGTGGGTCTTATCCGGGATGATAATGAAGATTCTTAAGGGAGGAGGTGAAGGCTTTGGTGGACTGGTGCAATAAAAATAACTTGGTTTTGAATATTAATAAAACAAAGGAGAGCAACATTGATTTTAGAAAGAGCCAGCATAATCATATTCCACTTTGTATCAAGGCTGCAGCTGTGGAAGTGGTCAATAGTATTAAGTACCTGGGGATGCAGATAACTAACAATCTGGTTTGGTCTCTTCATATTTTATCTTTAGTGAAGCAGGCAAACCAGCATTTGCATTTTTTGTGTTGGATGAGGAGAGCACATATTTCTCCTTTTGTCCTGGCCATTTTTTACAGAGGCACAATTGAGAGCGTTTTAACAAACTGCATCACTGTTTGGTCTGGTGGTAGCAGTGCCTCAGACAGAAGCTCCATACAGAGAGTGGTAAGGACAGCTGAGAAGATTATAGGAAGCTCGGTTCCTGTTATTCAGGATACTGCTTATAAGCATTATATGCTTAGAGCTCAAAGCATTGTTAAAGGCCCCACACACCACTTCACGGTCTGTTTCTGTTGCTCCCCTCTGGGAGGAGGTTTTGAAGTATTTATAGCAGAACTACTTGATTCTGTAACAGGTTTGTTCCTTATGCCATCCATCTTGTAAATTCGCAGGATTTTTTTTTGTTTGCTATGTATATGTGGATACATGCATAATGATATTTTCTGAGAGCTGAATGCAACAAAAATTTCTTTTTTAATATATGCTGGTTAGTGTATATTTAAAGTGACAATAAATTCTATTCTATTCTGTTATATCCTATTCTATTATATGAAAATGATTTGGGAATGTTAATTGTAAACTATATATGAATCAACATGATACAGCTCCAAAGGGAAATGCAATTCAGAATGCATCAACAGGAGCAGTTGCCAAAGCAACTATATCTGCCTTCTTCAGACTTTATCTCAAGTACAGTGTCCAGTTGCAGATATTATATTTTAAGAAGATTCACAGAAACAATAGAAAGGCAACAAGAATGATTGAAAGATTAAAAATTTAATTTTATATCTGAGGGAAATCTGTACTGTATGTTTATTCCCAACAGAAAACAAATGAAAGGGGATCTGATAGCAATTATCAAAAAATCAGAACGAAGGAGATTGATCAACAGTTGGTTGGAACTTAAGCACTACATAGTGCAAAAACAAGGAGTAAGAATCTTTAAATGTCCAGTTAGGAAAAACTTAAATGTAAGAAAGTTAGTAAAAATATTTATCCAAAAAAGTGGTGGGCTTCCATTGACTCAATGTTTATAGAAAGAGGCTGAAGGGCCATAGCTCAGGGATATTTTAATTCAAATTCCTAAACTGAACAAGATTTGATGTTAATGGTCTTAACAGCCCCTCCAAACTCTTTGATTTTAATTTTGCTTACCCCCTTTTACAGTGCCTTATATAGATTTTCAGAAATTCATGGCTGAATCATGGCTGAATTTATACATGCATATATTACATAGCACTATCTCTATATTATGGACCTTTTAAAAAAAATCAATCTCAGCTCTAACATTCTTACAAATCTGGATAGCAATTCTGGACATACAAGAAAAGCATCAAAAGACAGGGAATGAATAGAATTTGAGTTAAAATGAGAGATCTTTTCCAGCTTTGGAAAGCATTATTATTAATTATAATTGGGTATTTTGATTTCTAAGTCATTTATAGTATCTGGCTGGTGTCAAATGACACCTTTGACTCGCTTGTTCCAACAAAAGTGCTTTGTATGTGTTATTACGAAAATAACTAAATCGGAGCATAGGCAGTTTCAAAGGTATGAGAAGAAATAGAAAATGCCTAAGAATCTTGGAGAAATAGAATTATTTTTTTTAAGAGCAGTTTTCAACTACAACGACATGCCTGAGGTGGGGAACAGAAGAGAGATGCCGAAAAGGAAAAATCGACCCAGAATCTTATCTCTGAGGCAAACCTGAGTCTAAAATGAGATGGAAGAGGGAAAAACTGCATGTGTCTTTTTCAAAAGGGGGTTATTGTTTCAAAATGAAGATGAGCAGGCTTTGAGGGTCTGGTTGCCGCCTCGTCTTCCTAACCCCCTAATGAACAAAAAAAAATATCTCTCCTCAGATAGACCAATATCTACATGTAAAAAAAAATTACACATCACCTCAATACGGAGGGACAGATTATATATATATATTTAAAAAAACCCGACCCTGGAGAGAAAGAGGCGCCGTGTGGCGGCGATGAAGAAAACTGGAGAGGGGAGGGTAAGCCAAGAGCAGCGGCATCTTTAAATGCTCAACCAGCTTCGAGACCACAATTCCCATCACGCCCCGGCAGGACGCGAGGCTGTCTTTCTTACCGCTAAACCGCGCAAAGCGCTGTGGGAAGACGAGTTTCCCGCCACAACATCGCTCCTCCAGTCAAGGCACCCGGTAGGGCCTTGAAAGAGAAAACTCCGAGGAGGGAGGCGGCTCGCCTCAACATTTCCCGCCGGGCGCGCGCTCGCTTAATGCCCCAACGACTGACGGCCCTCGTCCCCACGCCCCCGGGCTCCGCGCCAACCGATCTCTCGCCGTTCTCGAGCCTTACCTCAGACGGGCGCAAGAACCTTCTGGTGCTGCTTCTGCTGCCACCGCCGGGGCTCCGCGAACCGGAAGCGCGGAGGGGGGGCCGACGGCGGCAAAAGCTACCGGGGTCGGGTAGGATGGAGGCTGTTAAAACGCGAGAAGGAGGAGCAGCAGGAGCCGGAGCCGGCCTCGGCGAACCCAGCGGTTGCGGGTGCAAGGGCATCCGCTCTTGCCTGCTCTGCGAGGCCGCCCCGCCCCCGCAGGTAACCCACCCGGCCTCAGAGAAGGGGTGGAGAAGGGGGTGGGAATTGGAGGGTGGGAGGGGGAAGATTTGAGGGGTGAGGGTCGTCGGGGAAAGAGAGAGCCCAAGCTCAGTCTTGAGAAGCTTCGGCTAAGAGAGCCTCTGAGGATGTGCAGAGTGCTCTTCTCTCAAGGAAAGGGAGGAAGAATCCGAGCCACGTTTTGCTACGGGGGGAAGAAGTTCCCACTTCAGGTTGTCGTTGTATTTTTAATCATAACTTATATATATTTTAAAATCCATCTTACTGTTATATTAGGAAAGCTGAAAAAGATACGTGGCCATTTCAGGCAGGCAAATTTTAGCAATGGAGGAGAGATGGAAATCTTCCAAAGAAACTTCCCAGACTCCAATTAACATTCAGAAAAGTCTGTCCAACACAGATGAATCTACTTTCCCGTATTGTCTTACCCATTGTATTTCTCCCTTCTCCCCAAATGTTACCTATGATTCTAGCTCTCAATGCATTGCCTCGTAGTCTTTCTGCTTTGGCAGATTGTGTGAACTCGATAGCTCAAACTTTTTAGGCATTTGTTTGATAAAAGACATTTACAACATAAAGTTAGGGAATACAAAAGTTGCCAAGTCAATTTCTTTTGATGATTTTATCTAGACTATATATGTGTTCAAATCCAGAAACCTTTAAAATGTGATCAAGTTATTTCAATTATGGATTATCTGCAATAATTGGGAACATAACTAAAATAGTATTGAAGTAGTTAAGCATTTTGGAGAATTCATGGAAAAGAATATTTTAATTAATAAACTTCAAAAAAGGTTGACATGAATTTGTTTCATCCTGCAAAAAAAACTCCAAAACAAACCCTATATAAATGTGTATATTCACAGGACATGGCTTCAGGATTGATATGATGAATTTAGCAGGATTCTGATACAGATTGTCTATTTTCTCCTATTCCTTCTGCTAGGGCAAAAAGCTGAAGAAAAATGTTTTGTGTTTTGTCAGAATTAGGAGGCATTATTGTGAATACATTTGTTCTTGTCTAAATCATCTTGTTTTGTTTGGAGCAATATGTTCTTTCAAGTAACAATCATGTTCTGTACATATTTGTCAGGATAATTCTAGAATTCTTGTGCATCCTGTCTTAACATTACAAAAATCAGCTTTATTAGAATTTTAAATTAGTACCAAAGAGATACAGATTACAAACCTCTCTGAGGCCATGAACACCCAGGATGATACTGGACCATTTTCTATCAGATTCATCTACTTCAGTGGTGTCAAAAGCTGAAACCACGCCCCCCATTGCCGGCAATGGAAAAAAAGTTGCAACACAACACACAACGTTGGGAGTTTGACACCCTGATCTACTTTGTTGATTAGTTGTAAAATGGTGGAAGAGAGGGCAGATTATTTATTTATCACAATATATTGTTCTAACTTCTTACAAGGCTAAATAGTTTTAAAGGCTACCGTATTTATGTTAAAATTAAACAGCCCTCTCTTAACAGAGGGGAAGGGATATAACACCTGTTTACAATGCAGTCCTTTGTAGCAGTCCCAAGTAAATTCCACAGCTGTTTACACTCTGATTCAGGTGACTCTGAGGATACAGATAAACCCGCAAGTAGCCTCCAGGACTCTCAGAAAGTTAACCAGATGACTGCAAAGAATATAAATCCTTCTATTCCATTAGAACTAATGAAGCTTTTTGGATGAGAAGCAAAATGTTTTCAAAGGAAGAAAGTCTTTTGGATAATGCACATTTTGACAGCCATGACCTGGATGATGGAGAATCTCCATAGGTATTTGGCTTGTTTAAACAATAATAAGGAAGTTGGTAGCCATTTCTAAAACCATTTACTGGTATAAGCTGTCCCTCTTTCTCAAAAGAGAAAGGTGTCATCTCCTTTACATTAAAAAGATGAGAAAGAAAAGTTGATTCTAGTTGCTTAGGATTGCTTCTATGTAGACGTCTCAGTTGAAGATAATAGCATTGACTAGAATTCTTGTGTCGCCACTTTCACGTAATAAAGTTTGCTAATTTGAATTGAGAGGCTGATTCTTTGGATTTATCATTTCAAGTTCTGATTGTTGTTAGAGAATCTGATATCTGGCCACAGTATCATCCCGCTACTCAAAGAATAAAAGACCAAGATATTATATTGATCTCTGACTTAATTGTAATAAAGATTTGAGTTATTGAGAGCAGGGGGGACCTCCACATTACAAAACTGCTTTTTCAAGGGACGTACAATCCAATCTAGAGCAAATTTAGGATATGGGATTGAGCCAGATATTCACTTATGAAGATCTATTCTGCCCCATGGGCTTTAATTTCATTTTTGTGATCAGCCAAGCTTTTTACAACTGTTAAGTGTTGGGTCAGGTCTGGGTATGGTTAGTATTACCGTATTAGTATACTGGTTATACCAAATCCTGACCTGAAAAATTACTTTTTAGAAGCTTCAGAGCAGAAAGAAAGAGAAGACTTGCATAACACATGGGAGGAACCAAAGGCCGGGCCAGTAAGATGAGAATAGATAACACTCCATCCAGATCTTAACGCAACTGGTACTCTTTTTGTTCCATGCCTCGTCCTGAATCTCAGTTGAAAGGGAACAGCATAATCCTTTTTTCTCTAGGATTCTCTGTAGCTAGAAACCTAATGTCTTTTCCATGCTCAGAATACAGGTAGTCCTCAATTTACATCCATTTAGCAACTATTTGAAGTTATGGCAGCAGTGAAAAAAGTGACTTATGACCAATCCTCACACTTATGACTATCAGCATCCCCACGGTCACATAATCTTGATTTAGGTACTTGGCAACCAGTTTGTGTTTATGGCTGCAGCATCCCACATGATTGCCATTGTGACCTTCCTAGTCAGTTCCTGACAAGCGAAGTCAATGGGGAAACTAGATTCACACCTACTACTTGATAAGATAGAAAAATGCGGGTTAGACAGCATCACCACCAGATGGATTCGTAGCTGGCTGACCAGCCGTACTCAGCGTGTGGTCCTCAATGGAACCGCATCTACATGGAGGGAAGTGTGTAGTGGGGTGCCCCAGGGCTCTGTTCTGGGCCCAGGGCTCTTCAACATCTTCATCAACGATCTAGACGAGGGGATAGATGGGGAACTCATCAAATTTGCAGACGACACCAAGCTGGCAGGAATAACCAACACTCCAGAAGACAGGCTTAGGATACAGGACAGACTTGAACACTGGGCGCTATCTAACAAAATGAAATTCAATGGTGAAAAAAGTAAGGTTCTACATTTAGGCAAGAAAAACCAAATGTACAGGTATAGTATAGGGGGTACCTTGCTCAATAGTAGTAACTGTGAGAGGGACCTCGGAGTCCTAGTGGACAATCATTTAAATGTGAGCCAGCAGTGTGCTGCAGCTGCCAAAAAAGCCAACACAGTGCTAGGCTGCATTAACAGAGGGATAGAATCAAGATCACGTGAAGTATTAATACCACTTTACAATGCCTTGGTAAGGCCACACTTGGAATACTGCATCCAGTTTTGGTCACCACGATGTAAACAAGATGTTGAGACTCTAGAAAGGGTACAGAGAAGAGCAACAAAGATGATTAGGGGACTGGAGGCTAAAACATATAAGGAACGGTTGCTGGAATTGGATATGTCTAATATCTCAGGGGCTGCCACAAAGAAGAGGGAGTCAAGCTATTTTCCAAAGCGCCGGAATGCAGGACAAGAAGCAACGGATGGAAACTAATCAAGGAGAGAAGCAACCTAGAACTAAGGAGAAACTTCCTGACAGTTAGAACAATTAACCAGTGGAACAACCTGCCTCCAGAAGCGGTGAATGCTCCAACACTGGAAGTTTTTAAGAAGAGACTGGACAGCCATTTGTCCGAAATGGTATAGGGTTACCTGTCTGAGCAGGGGGTTGGACTTGATGACCTCCAAGGTCTCTTCCAACTTTATTATTATTATTATTATTATTACTTAATCACTGTGATTTGCTTAATGAAAACCATAAAATTGGATGTGATCATGTGATGACTCACTTAATGACCGCTTTCTTCTGGTTCTAATTGTGATTATAAGTTGAGGACTGCCTGTAAATCACATTTGATCTTGCAGGATGTTACCCAAATCATCTCACCAGACTCTATCCAGGTGTGGCATCTAAGTCCAAGGATTTGCAAGCAGTTCTAGCTAAGAACCTTACAAAAATATCATAATGGCGTTTGAGTAGATATTATTATGGGAGCTTATTATAGACTGCTTGAACTGGCAGAGGATATGAATGAGGCTTTTCTGTGACAAGTGATTGAATTTTTATTGAGGCACACAATAGTGACAACTTAAATACCCTTAATTTACTGGAAATCTTATTCTGCCAAAGGTCAGAGGTCTAACAAAATCCTTTCCTCTTTTGCTGAGTACATTGTTTGTCAGAAGATAAAGGACAGAACAAGGAGTTCTGTTATATTAAATGATAATAACTTTATTTTTAAAGTATTTGTAAAGTATTTATAAGCTGTGATTTCACTGTTTAAAATACTAAACCGATAGTTTAAATAACCTGTTAGTTTTAAATGTGTTTTATGTTTTCTATTATTCTTAATTTGTCCCTATAGTCTGATTCAGTGGCACATAATTCTTAATTTCTTCAAAATTACATCTTTACACATGGGGTATAAATTACATCATTATAACTTCATCTCTTCAATTCTGCTAAAAGAAATCTTGTGAAAATAAGAGATTAATTATCTTTAAACATTTAGAACTTATATTCAACCAAATGATGGCATAAAGCCAAATGACCAAAACCTATCTTCAAAATCTAATGCCAACTATAGGTAGTCCTCAGGATATGACCGTAATGGAGCCTGTCACATATCGACATAGCCATTAAGCAACATGGCCTCACTTAACAACCCCTACTGTCCCTGATGCAACTGTTGAATTAATTCAAGGGTTGCTAAGTGGAGTACAGGTAGTCCTTGACTTATGACCACAATTGAGCCCAAAATTTTTGTTGCTAAGTGAAACATTTGTTAAGTGATTTTTGCCCCATTTTACGTCCTTTCTGGCCACCATTGTTAAGTGCATCACTGTAGTTATTAAGTTAGTAACACGGTTATAAAGTGAATCTGGCTTCCCCATTGACTTTGCTTGTAAGAAGATCACAAAAGGTGATCAGATGATCCTGGGACACAGCAACCATCATAAATGTGAGTCAGTTGCCAAGCGGCTGAATTTTGATCATGTGACCTCAGCGATGCTGCAATGGTTGTAAGTGTGAAAAATGGTCATAAGTCACTTTATTCAGGGTCGTTGTAACTTTGAATGGTCACTAAATGAACTATTGTAAGTCGAGGACTACCTGTACCGGTTGCTTCAGGGGTAGGAGAGGCCTATACAGGCCCAGGGTTGTCTGCCTTAGACATCCACCCTCCCTTGAGGCACCCCATGCTCCACTTCTTGCACCTCAGGGTCTCTGCAGTGTTTTTACCACCCAGCAAGCAAGGGAGATCAAGCCAGCTAGCGCAGGGCTTTTCAACCAGTGGTACGGGTACCACCTGTGGTACATTGGCACCTGGCAGGTGGTACGCGACCATCCTAGAAAAGTGGTAGCAGGGGAGGGGAATGAGCTGAACTGGTGGCAGCACCGCACAAGCCTGAGCGAGAGATGGCTGGAGCTGCAGGGCTGTCAGGGCTCAGTGGAAGCGCCAGGATCAGCACCAGGCTCCAGCTGGAGCTCGGCACTGATCCTGGTGCTTCTGTCGAGCCCAGAAGAAGCGCCGATCAGCTGGAATGTTGCAGCATCTCTGGGGTCTTGTGATTTACATTCAGATGCTTGGCAACTGATTCATATTTATGATGGCCACAGTGTCCCAGGGTCATGTGAAGTGACCAAAACCTGCTGCAACCACCCAGCAGACGGGGGGAATAAAAACCAAACACCCCCCCACCCCACCCCCGCTGCCAATCCTCAACAGAAATGCTCACAACAATGAAAACCTCGGACAGGAGGAAGAGCACCGCCGGGTGGGCAGGCAGTTGTCTTGCTTGGCTGTGGCTTGGGGGGCACTTTTTTCAGTGCCATTGTAACTTCAAACAGTCACTAAGCGAACTGTTGTAAGTCGAGGACTACCTGTACTTTATCACTTTTTTCCTTTTTTTTTTTTTTTTGGTCATCAAGTTTTTGACACCTTGCTAGGCGACTGGTGGTACTCGGATATTGCCATATCCTAAAAGTGGTACAATGGGTGAAAAGGTTGAAAAGCCCTGAGCTAGAGCTTACAAGCCTTCAGCTGTCTTCCCACCCAGTGAGCCTGGCAAATCTGTGCTGTTTTGCATTAGGTTCTAATTCTATTCTTGCAATACTGTAGAGTGCTTTTGTTTAATATTTTTAAGGAGACTCCATTTTTTTTAAGAGGCCTATTCCTTTGTGGAGTTTATAGAGCCTCCTTAAAAGGGAAGCCCCCTACAGGTGCCTGAGAATAATACCTGCTTTGTCAGAAGGCTAGGTCTACCTACAAGATCCTGTATTCAGGGCTGAATGCCTTTCTCAGAAGCTGCAAAAAACAGAAAGGTAAGTTGGGTGTTGTTGGGCTCTGGAGCAGGTTGAGTCCTGTAAGTGGGAAAGAAGCTGGAGGCTTGCAAGCTCCAGACAGCCTGATCTCCCTTTCCTTACTGGAAGTTGCAAACTCCAGAGGCCTAATCTTCCCTTCCTTGCTGGATGGGAAGGAAGCTGGAGGCTTGGGTGGATGAGTGGCTGCAGGAACCCAGCGGGGGTGAGTGAAAGAGCACTAAAGCATCCCTGCAGTTGACCATAAGGGCAAATGACTGCGGTGGTGGTGCTGCAGCTGCTGTAACTTTGAAACTGGGTCATAAGTAGCTTTGGGGGCTCTGTCATAACTTTGAATGGTCAATAAGAGACACATTGTAAGTAAAGGACTACCTTTAACACGCAGGAATTCTAAAAGCACATTTATTTAAGCAAGTGATTAGAAGACTATATTTCTGCAAACTAGAACATTTGACAAATTGCAAACGTGAAGATCAGATTCAGTTACTACTTTTCTCCTTTTCACATTCCCATTTTTTCCTCAGAAAAGAGCAAACTTTGTTTACTGCCCATTGACCGGCTTTGCTGTGGGAGAGAAACAATCAGAATTTGAAGGATGGGCTTTCGAGTTTCCAGGAGTTTTTTTGCTGGAAGACTTTATAAACACAGATGAGGAATATCAAATGGTTGAGCTAATGGATCAAAGCATATGGAAGCCATCACAATCTGGCCGAAGAAAACAGGTCTTGTCTCAAGCTTAAATTCCTCCTTACTCTGGGAGGTAGGGATGGGGTCATCTTCCAGTGTTTAGCTTTGGATATTTTGTTTAGTGTGTGAGTTTTTCCTTCCATTCTCTTTCCCTGTGATTTTTTTTCAAAATAAGTTAAAACAACAGAAATATTAGTAGCACCTCTGGTGCAGCCACTTTCATTCTGTTTTGATCATAATAAGTACTTGCTTTATTTAATCAGGGTTTATTTAATCCAGTATTCTTGATTTACATGAGAAAATGAATTATGAATGCATCATGTTGGACTAAAAGTAGCAGCTTGTCTAAGCCTGCATTTTTTTTTTTAGAGATAAGATCCGAATTGGGGATTTCATTGCTCGCAGTCTTCATCTTTTAATTTACTCCTCCTCAAATACTCTTTGTTCTTTTTCAATAGGACTATGGCCCCAAAGTGAACTTTAAGAAGCAAAAAATGAAAGCTGGTAATTTTTCTGGGTTGCCCAGCTTCAGCAAGGAGATCGTGGCACGGATGCAAAAATATCCAATTCTTGAAAGTTTTTCTCCTGTTGAGCAGTGCAATTTAGATTATGACCCTGAGAGAGGATCTGCTATTGACCCACATTGGGATGACTGGTGGCTATGGGGGGAACGACTGGTGAGCTTAAACTTGCTCTCAGATACTGTACTTTCCATGTCCTGCGACTCAGAGGACAGTCTCCACTTATTTCCTCTAGTTCTTCAAGAAAACAAGCAGATGCACAGGTATAAATCTCCTGATATTTCTCAAGAGTATCATCAGATGGATGATTGTAGTCTTCTAGAAAGACTAGAAAGCACTGAATATTCATCCACAAAGTTAGTCCGACTCAGAGAAATCCTTGTTGCTATTTACCTACCTCAGAGATCACTAGTCGTTCTCAGTGGACCTGCTCGCTACCGGTGGAAGCATGCCATTTATCGCAACCATATTAAAAGTCGTCGCGTATGTATCACCTTCAGAGAATTGACTGCTGAGTTTAGTCTCGGAGGAGAACAGGCAGAACTGGGTAAAAATCTCTTGGACATTGCTCTAACATTCAAGGGATCACCTGTATAAACCCCAAGAGAAAAGCACTGTGGCTTTTCTTTGGCTGCTGGATATCAATGTTCAGGGCTTTCATAAACCTCCTTCCTTTTTTCCCTTCCCTGAGCAAAGTTATACAGCATTCATTATTCTGACAAGGGTGGTTCTCAGTGTTATGTTCTAGAATGTCTTACCTCTCCACTATATTTAAGATAATTTGAATTAATTTTTTTAATCTACACTCTGTGGCTCTTCAGATGTTACTGAATTTGATTTATGTTAACAGTGAAGAGAATAAATGCATCTTCCTTGGAAACAGATTTCCTTTGAAAGTCTGTTTGCAGCACATGGTCTGTAGCCTATGTGACACTGTTGGGCTGTAGCACCCAACAATCCTCATCCTTAGCTGACTAGCTGGTGCTGTTGAGAGTTTTAATTCACCATCTGGAGGGCCATAGGTTATATGTTAAAACATATTAATTAAAAGTGTTAAATTTCTTGTCTATCCCTAACTCTGTTAAAATCATTAGTTTTAAGGCTGGGCATACATTCATTTCTCTTTTTATTTTATTTAACTCTAACTAAAACTGTAAGAGAAATAAATTAAAAAACAGAGTTTATTAACCCTTCTGACAATTATTGGCATTTCTCCAAAGACTTCATCATTGATATACTGTATACCAATAAAATAGATAATATATCTATTAATCATAAGATGATCAGTATCTAAGCTGATTTTTAAAGATTCTGATGAATTTCCAAAGCATAAATACCAGGGCATTCATTTTTTAACTTTATCTTCCAATCCCTGCTTCACAGATGCCCTTGTATAAGTTTCTTTAAAATTAACCAAATTAAAAAAAGAAAAAAATTAAAAACCACAATTAGAAAATGGAGAAAAATGCTGAAAAAAGAAATAAATACAGATACTTTTTTTATGTGCCTTCAAGTCGTTGACTCCTGCTGACTGACTGCTGCAGTTTTCTTGGCAAGATTTTTTTTTTTTGCTTTTTTTTTTTCTATACATCTTTCAAACATAAAATTCATTAACATACATACATTTCAATTCTAACATTACACATTTTAGTTATATAACTATTAATGCATACTTATAATACCATCCCGACTCTCCCCCCACCCCATTATCCCCCTTCCCCTCCCTTTCCCCCCCTTCCCCTCCCTCACTTCCCAGAACTGAACACAGGGTTACCAAGCCATTATAATATCCACAACTTATCTACCA